TTCCTCATCTCAAGACATGAAATAAAAGTTATGGCCCCGCCCCCTGACAAATGAATAATTATGGTTTTCACACGTGTCGGTTGGAAAGCGGCGACTCCTCTGCCGTTTCACAGATTTGCCTCAAAATCGCTCCACATCATCTAAACACATGTACCATCATCTTGATTTCACAGACTTTTGATCAGTAAAACGTTGTTTGAGCAGCGGAGCGCCAAAATGTGACCTTCTTTTGGCAGTTTTTTACAACATTAAATTTGCTCCCGTTTGCACAAACAAAGTCTGATTTGCACAAAATCTTAATACATTGTTCAACTCTAGGGTTTAGGTCATTCGAAAGTGAAATAAATGAACTTAGCTCATTAGCGCCCCCTACAGATGGGGACAAAGTTTTTAGTATGGGAGCGTTTCGAGGTCAAGTTTGCTGTATAGGCATGAAATTTGGTACACATGTTCCTCATCTCAAGACATGAAATAAAAGTTATGGCCCCGCCCCCTGACAAATGAATAATTATGGTTTTCACACGTGTCGGTTGGAAAGCGGCGACTCCTCTGCCGTTTCACAGATTTGCCTCAAAATCGCTCCACATCATCTAAACACATGTACCATCATCTTGATTTCACAGACTTTTGATCAGTAAAACGTTGTTTGAGCAGCGGAGCGCCAAAAAGTGGCTTTTTTTTTTCCAGTTTTTGACAATAGAAAAATTGCTTCCGTTTCTACAAACAAAGTCTGATTTGAATCCATGGTTCAACTCTTGGGTCTAGGTCATTTGAAAGTTAAAATTTTGAAATTGGCTCTTTAGCGCCACCTACAACAGCCAATTTAAAAACGCCTACGGGAGGGGTTTGAGGTCAAAATTGTCGTAGAACCATGTAATTTGGTACACATGTTCCTCAAGTCAAGACATGGGAAAAAAATTATTGGCTAAGCCCTCTGACAAACAGGAAGCCCATAAATTTCATTGCAAAATGGAAAAATGAAAACCAATCATTTTCATACATGTCGGTTGGAAAGCGACTCCTCCTCAGCCGTTTCACCGATAGGCCTCAAAATTCCTCCAAATTATCTCAACACATGTACCTTCAAAATGACCTCAGGGAATTTTAATCAGTGACACTTTGTTTGAGCAGCCGAGCGGCAAAATGTGAGGTTTTTTTTGGCCGTTTTTGACAACATTAATTTTTTTCCCGTTTGCACAAACAAAGTCTGATTTGCATTAAACTTGAATCCATTGTTCAACTCCAGGGTTTAGGTCAGGAGAAAGTGAAATATTGGAAATTGGCCCATTAGCGCCCCCTAAAGACTGAGTCAAAGTTTACATGAGGAGCCAAACCAGCTCATTGTAATGAATAATCATTACAATTTGACTAACAATCTTCTATGGCTACGGGAACAAATCATCGCGCGGGGAGTGGTGCGGGGAAGAAAAGCAAGCCCAAACCATGATGCTGCCACCACCATGTTTGACAGTGGGGATGGTGTGTTCAGGGTGATGAGCTGTGTTGCTTTTACGCCAAACAAATCGTTTTGCATTGTGGCCAAAAAGTTCGATTTTGGTTTCATCTGACCAGAGCACCTTCTTCCACAAGTTTGGTGTGTCTCCCAGGTGGCTTGTGGCAAACTTTAAGAGACTTTTTATGGATATCTTGTAGAAATGGCTTTCTTCTTGCCACTCTTCCATAAAGGCCAGATTTGTGCAGTACACGACTGATTGTTGTCCTATGGACAGACTCTCCTACCTCAGCTGTAGTTATCTGTAGTTCATCCAGAGTGATCATGGGCCTGTTGGCTGAATCTCTGATCAGTCTGCTCCTTGTTTGAGATGAAAGTTTGGATGGACGGCCGGGTCTTGGTAGGTTTGCAGTGGTCTGATACGCCTTCCATTTCAATATAATTGCTTGCACAGTGCTCCTTGAGATGTTTAAAGCTTGGGAAATCTTTTTGTATCCAAATCCGGCTTTAAACTTCTCCACAACAGTATCTCGGACCTGCCTGGTGTGTTCCCTTGTCTTCATGGTTCTCTCTGCGCATTAAACAGAACCCTGAGACTATCAAAGAGCAGGTGCATTTATACTGAGACTTGATTACACACAGGTGCATTTTATTTATCATCATCAGTCATTTAGGACAACATTGGATCATTCAAAGATGATACAGCAGACAGATACACTTGTTTCAAGCCGGGAGCGCTGTTGCGCACTTCTACCTTTAAGGCCGGGAAAGCGGACACGTCTTTTTTTCTTTTTTTGACCTATTCTCTTCATTGATCAATTCTCTGAACCAATGAAATGTATTAAGATATACCTGTGATAAGAATTAGCTGCGGATCCACGGATCCGCGAATTCAGACTTTTTCTCGCTGAGAAATTCATTTCGGTGAAATGCGTGACCGCGGGCAGTTGTTTGCATTACGTACTCGAACGGGATTAACATCCTCCGCTCTGACCCCGGGAGCAACAGTGGCTGCTTTGACAGCTCAGCGAACGCACAGCCACAGGGGTCAGACGCGCGATCTGGACCTAGACGGGCAAAACCCGCACGTGCAACAAGCTCCCTCCCTCGTTTGTCCCCCATCTCCCCGAAGTCTCCTGACAAAGCGCAGCCAAGACTCACTGAAAAATAAAGCTCAGCTACCTACATTTTTGCTTGCATTGACAATGCATGTTTTTTGGGCAAAAAATAAAATGTGACCAAATCAAACAGAACAAACCAAAAGCTGAGAGTGGATTTTTTATGTTTTTTCCACATAGTTAGTGCCACTTAATTGCCAAACTCTTTTTGACTTATTGCATTGATAAACATGTGTTAGTCTCACATTGTTTTTGGTTGTTTTATTACCTTTCCTGTGTGGAAGTTGTATATTCTTCTACTGAAGTTTTATAATAATACACTGCCTTCTTATTGAAAGCCACAAGTGTCAGCTCTCAAATTCTTTTGAAATGAGGTTTCTATCTGCTAGAGAGGCCGAGATATCAATCATTCTGTAGACGTTGAATTTCAGGAAAACTTCAGGTTTTGGAGGGTGGTTCTGAAGTCGGCCTCAGGTTTTGCAGGTCTGTTTTACCAGGCGATGCAGGCCTTAATGAGTTAAAGTATGACCTATGTGTGGGAAAAACATTTTTTTCAAATTCAGGTGGTGTGGCTTATATACAAGTGCCCCTTATAGTCCAGAAAGTAGATATTGTCTATTCCCTGACCTGAACACTGAGGAGTAGGTAAAATACAGTCATGACTTATGACCTCAAAAGAATCAATTAGTACTGATTGAACACTATTAATTGCTGAGCTCAGGGTTAAAGTGTTTTCAAAACTGACCAAGAGAAACGTAGCCCAACAGACAGCAACATGACATAGTCTCATAGTTCATGACTGGAGTTGTTCTTGTATACAAACAGAGCAGTGTGGAGCACTCTCCTCCTTGCAGCTGGTTTCTATGGAGACTCAGCAGTCATTCAGGATAAAAATAGGCCCTTCCAGAAAAAACGGCCCTCACTCTGGTGCTTTCCTCACAGCCAGCGGCGACACCACAACACACAGACATGAGACATCACAGAGAAGCTATGTTTCTGATACAAGCTGAGGAGTAGTCACAATACACACAGGCTGCATTACTGCTGTACATTTGGTGAAGTCAGGTCAACTGCAAAAATAGTGGGGGAAATTCTGTATTCCGGCGCACTTACGTGATAGTAGTAAGAACACAGTGTTCTTACTACTATCACGTAAGTGCGCCGGAGCAACAATCTACAGAGACAAATAGCTGTGAATGTTACATAATAGTAATAATTACTTTATGATGAGAGGAGGACCAGATATAGACACCAGAGAGAAAGAGAGAGAGACCAAGAGAGACACCACAGAGATCAAAGGCACATAGATGAAATGAATGTTAACATATTATGGGCAGGATATACAGATAAAGCCGATAAAGTGACATTCTGTAGATATTCTGAGCTGTAGACCGTTGTACAGTCCGACACCAGAAAGGGGGAAAGACCAACAAAACCCCTCTATTTTTTTTTCGCACACAATAAAGACATGCATAAATTATGGTGGAAAACAAGCTCACTTTTTAGTGATTGTTCCAATGGTTTGAATGGATCCATTAGAAAATAACTGCTCGGGGAGTCCTTGTATAAAACTATTTAAACTTGCTCAATTATAATATAAATGACTGAACATAACTTATATTGACTTCATAAAATACAGGATTGTTATTTTTGAGAGGAGACGTAATTTCAATACGACCCATTCCATTACATCACAGCTGTCTTTGCCATAAGAAATACTTAATCCACATTTCCCCATAGTGTTTTTTCCAATTATCTTTCAGCTCGTCCTTTCGTCCTAGATTAATCCACAAAGCCATCACCATCCTGTCTCCACGCCCCCTTTGCAAAACCATAATGGAACAGATCTTCTCCCTCAGATTTAATTGCGAGCTAATGGCTGGCTAAATAACTGCTAGAAAAGACCAGCGTTGAGAATTCGCTTTGCTAAGGTCAGTTCAAAACAGCACATGACTAATCATTGCAGTTTGTGTTATGACGTATTTCACGTTGTCATTGCGAACTCGCTTAAGCAATGCTATGATTCACAGTAATTCGCCTAAAAATTAAAGTATTTGTTTTGCTTTGTTAATATAATGCTTTTTTCGGATAGTGCAAGAATTTTACAGGATATCGTCTGGGTTTATGCAATCCTATGCTCTCTCGTTTTCAATCGATTTGATTAGAAGTGTACGGGAAACCACCACAGGAAGCCCGTAACCCCCACATATCAATCATGACTTTAATGGATGAAGTCTGGCGTGAAATCTATTCCGAATCTTCTACTGCACAGCCAGCCTCTCAAACTGTCCCAATCATTCCAATTAACACCATATTTAGCAAAATGGCAGTATCTATACGTATGTACATAATCATAAAATGATGACTTAGATGCAACATCAAATAGTTAGCGTTAGCATTAGCATGGATGCAGCGGACACGAAGCGTACCTTATCCTCAGACCCTTGCTGGTCCAGTGTCGGCTCTCCATTCTTGGCTCCTCGGTGTTTTAGCTCTGTCATGTCCGCAAAGCAGGGCTCGACAGTGGGAAGGGAAGAGCCTGTGAGTCCGAGGCAGGCACGGGGTTAGTGGCAGCGGGCGCTGAAGCTAGGCGGTCTCTTCTTTGCTTCTGTGCTAAACTAAGAAAACACAAGTCAAGTGACCTGAAGCTAACCACATGCTACGTCCGGGTTTCAGAGTAAATGTGTTTACAAACATGAAAAGCAAAGTAAAAGAGATTACAACTTTATGTGGTCTCTTTGCAAGGGCACAAGTATGGCGTCAAATAGGGTCTGATTGAACGTTTAGTTTAGTTTATTAAGATCCCCATTAGTAGCTAATCTTCCTGGGGTCTCCACAAAATCATTACATGCGTTTACATATTTTTTATATATAAATCACACACACACGACGATATCACAGCTCAGTGAGTAATCAATTACAAACATAAAAAAATAATTAAAAAATGAAAAGAACAAATAAAGTATCTTACACCTACAACATTGGCATAGGAAATAATCAAATTGTGTACAGTTTAGAAAAGGAAAATAAATCAATTAAAACATAATGTTATGTTCTCCAGTGGCTTCAGTCCCACTCAAATATAAAATATTCATATTATTTTTAGTTTCAACAATATATACACACGTACACAGACACATACTCTTATACACCAATATGTGATTTAATGTTCATGTGTGAAAACATTTTTTTTCTTTTGAAAATGTATTTTCTCACTCCCTTTGATCAGAAAGGAGGGCAACATGTTCCATGCAACCATGGCTCGATAAACTACAGTTTACTGCCTTTTATTTGTTCTGCATTAAGGGAGGACACACCTTAATTCACTACTTTGCCGTGTGGCATGATCATGAGAATTTGAAAAGTGTTTCAATTTATAATTTATTGTTTCAGGATTGTGTGACACTATAACATTCCTGAATAACGTTAGTACATAATACTGTGTTCTACTTTTAACAGTGACATTTGTTCTGTATGAGCAGCTTAATACAATTCAGGCAGCTCTGTTCTGAGCGACTTGTAATTTGTGTAGGTTGTCACATGTGTTTGACCAAACCTCAGAAGCATAATCCAACTGAGAAAGGACTAATGACTGAATTGGTATTCAATTAAAAGTCACCGAGGTCCAGTTACTAAAATTTCCTCCAAGTACAAGGTCCGAACATTTTCATTTAAACACACATTTTTGTATGGTTTCAGTAATATTTATTGTCAATGCAGGAAACCTTTAACAGAGTGAACTTTATAGTAAACTAGCTCTTTTACAAGTAGTCCTGCAGGCAAAAAATGTAAAGCCTTTTTTCATTCAAGAAAACAGAAACCTCAGAACAAAATAAATAAAAGAGCCTAATAACCATTTTTTCTCTTAAATTAAAGAGGTCCCAGCCTAAAGAAACACACTTCAAGTAAAAAGTAAACATCTTCAGGAAATAAATACAAAATGGCTCTTTTAGGGGGAAAAAATGAAAACAGAGCTTGGACACCACCTTTCTCTTTTGATTATTCTTTTTCTCTTAATGAGAAAAATGGGCATGTGACTGCCCTGCCAGTGATTTAAATCTGGGTTGGAATGGAGTCAGGGCCATCCTCATGCAGACATGTAAGTGGCTATTGGTCAGCCTAGAACGGTACTTGTTTTTGATGATGTTCATGGTGGAAAAGGCTGACTCACAGGTGTAAGTAGACCCAAACATGGTCAAGGTGTGCAGTGCTATTTTACTGAGACCGGGGAACACACTCTCAGACACAGTCTGAAGCCAGAAGGTTGCAGGGTCAGTTGCCTCAAAATGCTGTTTTAATGCAGCATTTCCTTGCAGATCAACGAGCTCAAGCTGTAGAGATCCTGCATGTGCCCACTTGAATGTCTGTGTCACCTGATTTGAAAATCCTCTGACCTCTCTGATGAGGAAAGGATTCTGGATTAGCAGGAGGAGCTGTGGCCCAAGGCAGAAGCTGTTGAACCTGTTACTGAAGTTTTCAATCAGCTTTTTGATGAAGTCAACATAGGGAGAAACATCTCTCTCACCCTGCATCTGTTCCTGCAGTTTTGGGAAGTGTTCACACTTTCCCTCAATATCTTCTCTGAAAATATCCAGCTTCCTCTGGAAAGAGCGAACAGCTGTCATCAAATCAGAAACTGAATTGTTCTGGCCCTGCAGCTTTAAATTGAGATCATTAAGATGTGATGTAATGTCAACCAAAAAAGCAACCATATCCATCTTGTGCTCATCTTGCAGAAACAGTGAAAACTGTATTGCTCTCTGGCTCTTGACCTGCTTTAAGAAAGCTTCTATTTCTTTTCGAATAGACCAGAAACGTCCCAGTGCATTGCCCTTACTCAGCCACCTTACATTGTTGTGCAGTAGCAGGTCATTGGAATTTGCCTCAACATTTTCCAGGAATTCTCTCAGGAGGCGATGCTGAAGGGATGAGGATGCCCTAAGGAAGTTGATGAGTTTCATCACTGTGTTCATTATTTCAGCTAAATGTTCTGATAGAGTGGCACACAGAGCAGTCTGATGGATGAGACAGTGATAAGCAATAAGATCTGAATTGTCCTCTTTCATCCGGGACACAGCCCCCCGCTCTTTTCCCACCATGGCAGGGGCACCATCCGTGGTGACAGAGACAACCTGCTTCATATCTATGCCTCTCTTTGTCAGCATCTCTTTTATTGCTGCATATATGTCCTCTCCTCTTGTGTGTGTTTCAAGTGGTGTTACACCCAGCAAGTCCTCACAGAGCTCCTTCTTATCTTTGTGAAGAAATCTCACATACACCAAAAGCTGGGCCTTATCAGTAACATCTGTGGATTCATCAATGGCCAAAGAAATGCATGGTGCACTCTGGATGGCTGCATCAAGCTGTGCCAGTACATCATCTGCTAATATTTCAGATTTTCTCATTGCTGTTGAAGCTGACATCGGGATTTGTTTGATTTTTTCACACATCTCGTCTTTTTGTTTCCCCTCAAATAATATCTCAGCAACAGCATTTAAGCACTCCTTCACAACAGTCCCATCACTGAATGGTTTTTTGTGTTGCCCCAAAATCCACGATACCTTTAGTGAACATTCGTTTGCACGTTGCTGGGCTGTAAACGTATGCGTGATGAGTCGGGTAGACCTGTCATACTGGGCTTGCAGTTCGGTTATTTTGCGTGCCCTCTGATCGGACTTCAGGGGAAAACTTTGCTCAAAGGAGCTGTGCTTTGTTTCGTAGTGCCGCTTTACGTTGCCGCTTTTAATTAATGCGACGTTTTCGGAGCATATGAGGCACACTGGTTTTGAACTGCCTGCCGGAAGAATGAACATAAACTTCTCCGTCCATTCATCTTTAAAACAACGGTTTTCCGCATCGACTTTCCTTCTTTTGGAGCAAGCCATATCTTTTCCTCACTGCTCTGGTGCGCCCGCCACGCAGGGTAGAAAAAGGATTTCATTGGCTCGGCTGAGTGACGCTATTGCCGTATTAACTGGAGTAGCAGCGCCCGCCGACTATAGTTGCGACCGTCAGAAAAAATGCTCCATGTAAATAGACTATTCTCGTAAATTTATCAGAGATTGGTCACGGCTCAGGACAGAACCATCACTCGATCCGGGTCCGGACCGAGGTCCGCCATTTGGTGATGCCCGATCTAGAAGATACTGTTTCATTAGGGTATCTACATTTTTCTTAAGCAGTATTATTCTTAAGTTATGACAAGTACACTTTTTTAGGTATATCTTCACACCTAATGAACGTTTACCTTCTGCAGACTCTGACTCAACTGCTGGCATCCTTGCTGATGAGGCTCTGGAAAATTGGAGGGGCCAAGGAGTTCCACCAAAAAAACGCAAGTGGCACTCTTATTTGGCCCCATGTCCTGAATGGATGAATGCCAATCAATCTACGAAGAAAATGGTTAAACTTGGGCTGCTGAAAAATGGTAACCATCATCAACCACTCAAGCTGGGAAACAAAACAGTATCTGTGTTAAATACTTGTGCAGTGGATGCATTTTTGCAAAGTCTGAGCTGTGCATACTGTGACAGCATGTCCTTCCAGTATGCGGTCAACACCGAACCCTCAAACCCGTCATTCAAGCTGGCCAAATCCATTGCGACAGATGGTATTGGCAGGAATGCAGATATCCAGAGAGCTGAGTTGCTGACCACATTATTTCCAGATGTCAAGTTGCTGTCAGGTGCACTACAGATTGATGCTCAGTGTCACATTTCCAGTGTAGTACAGAAAACAATGAGGAATATCACAAGCGTGTACTTTCATAAGAAATGTTCCTCCCAGCACTGCATGCTCAGTGTGCAAACCTCAAGGGAAGTACCAATTGTCTATCCATCCTTCAATGTACTGCAGACTTCTGGTATGGCTCAACTTGAGATTGCAGTGCAGCAAGGACTTCACTTGCCCATATCTCCCTGTCTCAGGCCAGTCCATTTGCCACTACAGGGTCACCCTGGAGGCACCGAAGAGGAGTCATCTGCCCTATGTGAAGGGATGGTCACACACAGCTGCAGTCTAGGAGAAATTTTATGGGTTGATACTGACCGTATGAGTACTTCACAAACTCACCAACGAAAGAGAGTCTTCCTTTTCTGAATTTCCATTCAGCATGGTCCTTCAGGATAAGACCTTCACACTAAGGGCAGTCATAGCATTCAGAGGTGGAGAGTCAACGAATGCCATGGGTCACTACGTCTGCTACTGCAAAAGGTCCCCAAGAGTCTGCGAGATGTTTGATGACCTGAGGAGCGAAGTGAAAACTGTGGCAGAAAATAGACATGTGTGTCCACATGCAGTGCTTTACACACATGATCAGTAACCTTGTTTTTATGCTTTTGTGCGAGTTGTCCTTTGGCACTTTAAGTTTGTTTGCAATTAGTTTGGCATATGTTTCAATTCTATGTCCATGTTTCTATTCTTTTGTATGTGAAGATATACCACAATATTGTTCTTTGACAGTGACTGCTTTTAGTTCATTCTTACTTTAAAAAAATTGCCATTAAATTAAGTTAATTTAAGAAAACAAAACGTGTATGCTTATAAGCTTCACTACTACAACACTACCATGCTAATCAAGCAGTAAAGAAGGCCTCATACATGTACTTAAATTAAAGCTGCATAAAATTGACTTTCAGAGGTATTAGTACTACTGTACACACTACAAAAAAAACAGTGACTCTTCACTCCACACTGGCTGTTCCAAGCTGCCATCCTGCACAAAAAAAATAAATAATAATCATGTAGTAAAATGATTTAACCAAATGACAAAACACTAAGTATACAGTATGTGCAAACCGAAACCTGCAAGTCTGCTCATATGCAAGAATTTAGCGTGTGTTAATTGGCTTAGCTAATTAAGCTCCTTAACACACATTCAGCACGTGAAACATATGTTAATCGCAATACAAGTGACTTTTAAACAGGCATATGCTGTGAATATATTGAACAAAGCCGTGCCAGTAATGTTAAGGACAATTGTACAGCCTATGGCAGATTAAATTTCAACTTGTGCCCTTTAAATCTATGAAATTAACGATTGGTTAATAATGATATTCACATAAATACTACATTCAACTTTATCATCCTCATTTATATGTCAAACACTATACCAATAAGGGGATTCAAAGAAGATTTACTTGCCAAAAGTTCGAGGAGTGTCGAGAGCATAGACTGTGGTCGAGAGGTTCTAGCCATGATTAATCACGCAGCAATAAAGTGTCCGGATATGACGTCACTGTCAATATAACAGGTGTGTGCGATACCCAAATTCTTAAATAGTTTAACATAACTGTATAAACCAAATATATGCACAGCATAAACGAAGCCAAAAGGATAGACACCATTCTCAGTCAGTTCTGCGCATTTTCGAAAGAGTATGATGTCATCGTCTAAAAATGCAATTATTAATATCTTAAAAACGATAACAGCACAAACGTAAATTTTTACAGCACAAACCAGCACAAACGTTGCACAAACGAATGACACTATTTTCGTCCATTTTGGAGCATTTTTTTTTAGCAAAATGAGGGGCTGGGTGACCTCAGATTGACCTATAAAAGAATCCTCAATATCTCAAAAATGAATTTTGAGTATGATGGGGGGCCAGGTTCACGTTAATCTCTACGAAGTGTGCATTTGTTTGAAGTGCACGCAAGGGTTTGAGTGTGCAGGTTACAAGCGTGCAAAAAAAGGCGGAATTGGGACAGTGCACACAGAGTGCAGGTTACGTAATCGACTTCAAGAGATGGTCATTTTCAGACCTAAACTTTACAAAAATTAAAGATCATTTCGTCCGACTCTGTGTGAAACAAAGTGAGTTGCTCCACACAGGTTGAAATAAATGTATATTGGTTATTTGTAATTTGAGATAGTTACCCACATTTAATTTAATTATACAGCCAACTGTTTAAATTGAATGTTATATGAATGCTTGCATTAAAAAGTTATTAAATTGTTAAAATACAATGTCCGTAATTCTTCATCAGAAATGTATGCTTCTTTCCAAGTAACATAGCAAAACTTATTTACACACATACAGCATATATATTGCAAAACTTACATTTAAATGCATTTTCCCAACGTTTTGGTGCGTACCGGTCAGATAACAGTTAGCTGAATAATTTTAAGTTAAATGTGGTTAACGATCTCAAATTACGAAAAACCAATATACATGTATTTTAATGTGCAGAGGGTAAGTCCAAGCTGAAAAACATTCAAACTCAAGTTGCATTGTGTCTTATACACTTTAATACATTAGTATACGTTTTCTTCCACTTTATCCATTGCTGGGTCACGGGGGCAGCAGTCTGAGCAGAGACAACCCCTCTACTCTCTACATACACACTCTCCAGCTCATCCGGGGGAATCACAGGGCAGTGTCACTCCCATATTCGTCCCGGAAACCGTATTCGTCCGGAAGTTCAGTTTGCGCATGTCAAAAAGTGTAATAAGTCCTTAAAGGAATAGTTCACCGTTTTTACATACTGACATATGTTCTTACTAGTTAATACGTACCTGTCTGGTCTTAGTCCGTGCGCTCTGTCATGCAAACGGAGCAAAAACGGGAGCACAACCGCAGCCTCCTCTGTATACTGTGTAGGACCAAAAGGTAGCTCCCGCTAGAAGCTACCAAACTCTTCCAAGTGTTCCCTATTAAATGTATATAGTTACGTGACGTGTTACACTGCAAAGTATAGTAACACAGAAATGTAAGTCGATTTTCTCAGTGGATAAAACGGGTACTATATTGTGAGGCGTAGTAATCTGAGGAGCGCTACGTCCGCGCACTAACTTCTCTCCGGAGACTTCTCTCTCGCTCACTTCCGTCAATAGAAGCAGCGTGACTTGTAGCACACACAGTAGCAGCGAGAGAGAAGTCTCCGGAGAGAAGTTAGTGCGCAGAGAAGTTAGGAGCGCTACGTCCGCGCACTAACTTCTCTCCGGAGACTTCTCTCTCGCTGCTACTGTGTGTACTACAAGTCACGCTGCTTCTATTGACGGAAGTGAGCGAGAGAAAAGTCTCCGGAGAGAAGTTAGTGCGCGGACGTAGCGCTCCTCAGATTACTACGCCTCACAATATAGTACCCGTTTTATCCGCTGAGAAAATCGACTGTTACATTTCTGTGTTACTATACTTTGCAGTGTAACACGTCACGTAACTATATACATTTAATAGGGAACACTTGGAAGAGTTTGGTAGCTTCTAGCGGGAGCTACCTTTTGGTCCTACACAGTATACAGAGGAGGCTGCGGTTGTGCTCCCGTTTTTGCTCCGTTTGCATGACAGAGCGCACGGACTAAGACCAGACAGGTACATATTAACTAGTCTAAGGTAAGGTAAGAACATATGTCAGTATGTAAGAACGGTGAACTATTCCTTTAAGTGGTGACTGGTTAAGTTTAGCTTCGAGCTCCTCCCGTGTGACTGAGCTCCTCACCCAATCTCTAAGGCGGCACCCAGTCACTCTGCGAAGAAAAATGAAGCGGACCGCTTGTATCCACGATCTCATCCTATCGGTCATTGCCCAAAGCTCATGACAAGAGGTGCGGGAGGAGATGTAGAGCTCTGACTGCAGACGCTGCTCCCTCATGACCTTATGTATGTTGATTGACCCAGTTTTCAGGGAAAACTAGGATAACCAACAGCTTCTATGTGTATTATTTTTGTTTTTAATTGTGAAGCGCCATGTGATCCTGGTTTGTGAAAGGCGCTATACCAATAAACTTTACTTGCTAAACCCCTTGGCTGAAAACTCCACACACACAAATAATCGTAGAAGCCCATTCAGTCAATTTAATATCAGTGATGCATCATACAGAGTAAAATACATTTAAAAAGAGGAAACAATAAATAAAGACGGACCAAGCAGCAGTCACCGTTGGAATATAAAATTATAAAAATCTTTTTGCAGTTTACCCTGGAGTGATAAACCTGTAGTGTCACTCCACCAAATTAGTGTGCAAGCAGAAATTAATTATTTAAAAAAATATTTTCTTGAGAGACAAGATAACATCGGCAGCTATAAAGGATCAGGCCGACTTTGGCTATGCGTCAGACAGCACAAAAAATAAAACTATGTACACATTAAAACAACTGAAGTCTCCACATAAAAGATTGTATATTTGTGAATGAAAGGCCAGCTGTCGTGCTCCAACTGTGCGACTGTTAACAAAAGTAAAGTTACATTCTGAAAATTGGAATGTGGAAATTGATAGATGCACCAGTGACGGACATAAACATAAATACAAAACACTGCAGGTCTGTCTGGTGATCAGAAACAGGTAATGGGAGCAGAGAAAGTAAACACTAGAACTCCCAGAGCAGTCAATTGGAGGGTTTTAGTTTTGGAAGTGAAGATACTCAGTATGTACATGTCTGGTCTCTCTAACTTTGTGACTTTTTCTGTGTCTATCTAGTTATTTCTATATCATCAATTTTTATGAAATTATTTTTCACTTTCTAAATGCCAGTAGTTCTACATTTTATTTCCCAGAGCAGTCATTTTGACCTCTTTCATTTCAATATATACATTCAAACATAGCCATTTTTGGTTGCCTGGCAACCAACATTCTATGGTAGATAAACTTACTTTTCTCCTGCTGGTTTTGGACTAGTCCTAAGCAGAGTTACTAAAGCAACCCACTCGCCACGTCTAAATGGTGCCAAAGGTAAGCAATGGTAAACAACCTTTTAAATTACTTTTAATACAACTGGTGTTCAGAATTTCCCAAAAAGGGGATTCATTGGAGCAGTTAAAATGACTGGTCTAGGAGTCTAAGTTTGAACAAAAATTGAATTCTATTGTTTTAGAAAGTAGGCCATTTTCTGCTCTATATACATGCTTTCCAGAGATGCTGATAGGAAGGCATGATGCATTGTGCATTATTTCCGCACAAATCAGCATAAAAAAAAACACCTGAAACGTTTGAGCTTAAGCTGGGGTACACCTTGCTTTTTTCATGAACACGTTTGTCTGTCTCAACAGATCAGAGTCAAATGTCATGAAGAAATCAGACCACAAAATGTGGTCTGATGTGTGGTTTTATTAAGGCCAAGCTGGTACTAAAGTGTTGTGACACTTTTTGGCCGGAGTGTTGGAAGACATTTAGACATTTTCCCAAATACTGTTTTTGGGACTTTAAAATTATATTACCTATGTTTGTACTGTTTGATTCTCTAATTTGTTGAGGAGTCGACAACTTCGGTGTTGTGATGTAAAGCTATAAACAGTCTTGGTGGACTTTGAAAATACATTTAATTGAATCCAACCAAACTGTTTTATAGTAAGGAACTAGTTGCATGCATGCGATTGCATAGTACGACTTTTTATGTTTGAAAGTGCGTTACCCCAGCTTTAATAAGGTACAAGACATGATTCAAAGTACATGTTGTAACTTCAGGATGGAGATTGCTTGCCACAAATCTCAAAATGTTGCGTTGACAAGCTTGTTGCAGCTCGCCATAAAGTAGCTGTTAAAATGTTAAATTAAAAGTAGACTTTTCCCATTCCAAAGTTGATGGAAAACTAGTCTACCTTTAACAAAAGTGTCTTACACATAGCCATTAAAATAGTTGGCCCGATGGTCCCGGTGTAAAGTTACTGATCTTTGATTTCTGAATTGTCTTGAGGCGCTTACTTGTCGCTCGCCTCCACCACGGTCTTCATCTGCGAATTTGCCACTTCGTCATCGCTTGTGGGGCTCTGAAATCCGCTGTCATCGTGCAGAGGAGGCGGGAACTCTGCCGATCTTTCTGCAGAATCGCCGTTTTGGGTCGCAGTGTCGGGAGCCCCGTCTTCCGGAGGAGGTGGAGGCAAGGGCTCTTCTGTAGATTCTTCCACGTTTGTCGACGCAGCTCCTTGGTCACTTTTGGCAGGCGAAATTTCCACACCATTTGCAACAACTGCTTTAACGTCGTCTTTGGTTTGTGAGTTTTTGGTCATTTTGGGTTCTAACGTTGGTTCAGAACTCATTGGATTTTCAGCAAAAACTTCTTGAGTAGATTTAGGTTCTTCTACATTTTGAGCAATCAACGGGACCTCTCGAGAAAGTTCTGTAGTCTGAATTTCAGCCGTCAATGGAACCTCTGGAGTAGGTACTGTTGCCTGAATTTCAGCCGTCAATGGAACCTCTGGAGTAGGTTCTGTAGCCTGAACTTCAGCCGTCAAAGAGAGCTCTTGAGTAGGTTCTGTTGCAGTTTCCTCTCCTGCAACTGGGGAATCTTGCGTTACCTTTTCCGAACAAGGCTCAGCTTTCCCATCATCCGGCTTTATAGGTTTGACGGAATTTTCTACCAATTGTCCGTCAGAAGGCTCCTCTTTCGCCGCTTCATCTTCCACTTTTTCATCCTGTTGTTTTGCCACCTCGCCCTCTTCCTCCTCTGGGATGTCCTCAACACCAGGCACTTCCAAGCACGAATCTGGAATGATGGGGCTTCCTTCGACTTGGATCATAGACACAACTTGCTTCATCCGGCGGGTTCTATGGGTTTTCCCATTGTCCACTCCATTCGTTGCGTCAAACTTGGTTTCTTCTTTGGCCTCTGCTCCATACTCCTCGGCCCAATCGATGGAGGGGTTCTCTCCCAGGAGGTGCAGGCTTGGGTCGCTGTTGCTAAGAACGATGCTGTCCCGGTACAAGTTGTGTCGTCGCTGGATGGCTGCTTCCTTCACGGCTGTGGATTGGAAGAAATAATGAAAATGGAAGATTCTTGTTAATGCACAATAAGTAATATTTGTTTGCCAACAAATAATATTAATTTTCATTGCTTTCATGACAGTAAGTAATTGAGGAAAAAAAACAATTCTAACCCTACCCCAAAAATAGTATCCAACAAAACAGAATTCTAACCCTACCCCAAAAATAGTATCCAAAGAAACAGAATTCAGTTTTCATGTGTTCCTTTGTCGTTTATTCCTGAGTATTTGCGTTAGACTTTAACGCAGCTCTGCTTGTGTACATGTCTCTTAATGGCCTTGCATTAAAGTACTGTACATCCGTGACATGCTAGTGCCATGTGAACCAACTCTGAGGAGCACAGGGACTGGCCCAGAGTTGGAACAAAACCTGGGGAGGCAGCCTTTCAGATTGCAGTTACAATCTGGAACAGTCTTCCTAAAAATGTGAGACATGTCAGGTGAGGCCTTGTGTATTTGCTATACAAATACTCTTGCCATTAGTACTCCTGCACAATAAAAATATGATCTTGGTGAGTAGATATACTATTACTATACTAAGTAAAATGATTCAATTACTATACTAAGTAAAATTATTCAATAACGTGATTGTATTTGAACACTGCTAGAAATTGTTTTTACCTCCACTAGGGGGTATTGTAATCACCAGGGTTTGGCATGTCTTCGGTTAGTAATGGGTGAATTTGTAGAACATTGTTGGTACAAGGAATAAAGGCAGTTCATTTACATGAAGCAAATCAACTGCGTGTAGAATAACTAATAACGCGTACATTGTGTTTCCTGATGTAAATTTAAAGTCCCATATTAGGAACCTTACCCATCATGATGTCTTTCATCACCGAATGCAGCACAACTTCCTCAAAGATGTTTTCCACCAGGATAAAGCGAGAGAAGTCCTCAAAGATCAGCTCCTGGAACTGTGGCAGCTCCTGAGACACACAAGTGGAGTGTCACCTACTGCCCATTACTGTAAAGCACACTGGACTGGATCAGTCTTCACATTTGTTTTGGCAACTTCTCTGGGCGACCTAGACCGATCTAACACAAGAAGGAGGCATTTTATCACATAAGATCCTCAATAGACCCAATACCTGTTTAGCCAAATACGGTCAGAAGGGTGACAGTGGCTCAGTTGGTAGAGCATTGCCCTTTGAGCCTGAAGGTCGTGGGTTCAAGCCCACCATAAGACCTACTTCATGGCTCCCACTGATGAATGCTGTCATTGTGTCCTTGGGCAAGACACTTAACCCCACTTTGCCTGAAGCCCCCACTGAAAGATCAAGGTCTGTGGACTCCTCACCTGTAGGAGGATCAGTGAGGGGCTGGTACTCAGTGTACAGCTCTGACTGCCACCCCCCTGACCCAGAAATGGATTAAGGGGAAGAAAATGGATGGATGGATGGTTAAAAGACAAAATGAACAAACACATTGCTGAATATTTAAACTTAACCATGACAAAATCTATTTAAGTTTTAGAGAGCAGCATTTTGTTAAGACAAATTATGGACATTTATTAACATTTATAGACAGTGGTCATCCTGCTCCCAGCAGTCATCTTTGAAGACTTTACAAAGTTGCCAATTCTCTAACACCAGATCAAATGACATAATAAAAAACACAAAGGGGCCATTGGTTTGAAGCAGATGTGTTTTTTAAGTTGGCCTCGTTCAAAATTAGTTTGACACAAGAGCTGGTTGGGGCCAGAAGTATAAAAGTGGTACATTTTTATTTTTTGTCTTATGTCAACTGTATTTGATGTTATTTTCTAGTATATTGGATTGAACCACAACTGGGGCAAATATCAATAAGAGATGTATTTGTAGGCTGATAAGTAACTATAACTTCTAATTACATTTTAGTTATAATGTCAGAACCGATGCAAGTCATATGGTTGTTTTCCTGAGACAATAGGCTTAGTACAACATGCCATAGTAGCCCCTTACCATCAATGCTGCAAGATACTGTGATCTTTGAAAATAATTTCAGCTGCCACCAAATATTGTCTTGCGAGTTTGACATGCCTGGTCCAAAGGGAGCTGGATGAGCACTGCCCAGAAATGTTTATAAATTTCCTCAGTAGTCCTGGATCATCACTGTCCTTTCACCTGCATTGGCAAGGAACCACTCAAAAATCCAGCGGGAAAAAAGTGAGAAACCTCAGGAGACCCATTTCGACAGAGGGATCCGCGGATCCACTCCTACAGACAGTTAATTTAAAAAAAAAAAAATAACAATTGTAAACCGCTTTGTAACTCTGGTCTGTGAAAGGCGGTATATAAATAAAATTACTTTCTAACTACAGACGGACAGGCTGTAGATCCCACTTTGTGAACACAGAGGTACTTACAGAGGCACAGGACGGGCTGAGCTGCTTCAACATGTAGGGGATGAAGATCTGCAGGAGGGCCTCCCGGAAGAACCGCTTTCTCACCGTGCTGCTGTCATAGTCAAACTTCTACAAAAACACAAAGGAATGTTAGTCACAGATCAGACCGAGAGACACTGAGCCTCTAGGCTGGTGGTGATACAGACCTTGATGACCCGGTCCTGGCACCGCTGGATGGTCTTGCAGAGCTCGTCACTGCCCTGGGACTCCAGACTTTGGTGGAGGATCTTCTCAAACGTGTACACGGCGTCGTCCATTTGCTACACAAACACGAGACGCAGTGTTATTTCACTTTCTAATTCCATTTATTGTTATCTTATTTATTTGACAGGGACAATGCACTCATTCAATGCAATGCATTTGTGCATCACCCTAAATCACAACAGCAGTCGTCTCAAGGGACTTTAATTTGATTGTTTTTTTATTGCATCAGAAATGCAATAATATCAAAAATGTATTATCAATAATAATTGTGTGAAAGCCCTTCCGCCAACGCTGGAACTCTGAAGCCTCGCTCACCAGACGCACATTCTTTAGTTTTCGGGCTGGCGGGCTTTGATGCTAACAGAGTTAAAGAGCGACTAAACACCTGTGCCCAGCCTTACTCCGCCCACATGAAGATTTGAAAATTTTCTCTAAAAAGGGCGTTGCCTGGAGGACTAAGGGACAAGAAGGGGGGCTTAGAGTTGGGCGTGGTCTGGGCTGTGATTGACAGCTCACTTGTCACACAAAAAAAAAAAAAACAGACAGTTGTCATTGCTGCTTAAAGCAATAGTTTACAGACCATAAAGTCTCATTCCACCCTTGTTTACACACTAAGATAATTGTAAAGCTACACACCTGAACCTAATCACACTCAATAATCTCAGAATGACTCATGTAATTTAATTCAATCCACTAGATGGCGCCAGAATACTCCAAACTACAGCTGGGGCGTGTGTGAGAGTTGAATGGGTTTATATTACTGGCTCTGACAGACTGACGTCACACAAAACAACTGATGTCATAGAGAACTTCAGAGTCAATGGAGAGGCCAGAACCAAATTCAAATGTAGTACCACCAAAAAGGTTGAGAGGGCACCACACAGCGTTTTTTGGCTCAAAAGTAATATTTTATCTAATTTGAACTAAAATGTCAAAAAAATGACCAGGATATGTAGACAGCACTACAATAAACATACTTATGCAGTTTATGAGTTAAAAAAAGTTGGTTTGGTGTTTAGTCGCTCTTTAAGCTAGCGGCTTCTTGTTTACAGTTCTCCAATAATGCAGCTTTGCAGCGTGTCTGTGTCCAGACACCTTCCACAGACTTTATATAACAGTAGTACGTGTTCACGGAGGTGCGCCATAAGTTTATTTTTTTATTAAATGATACTTCCGCATCGGCGAACACACTCGAAGCCGTTGCATAAGGTCACGGGAGCGTGAAAACGCATATGTTCACAAGCACCATGTCCCCCATCGTCAACCCTGGTTTTAGTCCTGGTGTAGCTCCTGTTTTGGCTGTTTACGAGTATGTTCTGTCTGCTCGCTCAGACCGCTTCTGTCCCTGTGATCACTTTGCGGCTCTCCGATTGGTCGCTGCTCGAACGTCCGAGGAAACGTTCAGCAAAATTAATCTCCTGCGTGCGTCAATTTTCCACTCCTGCTCTTCCCCTTCGATTTTGCCGCGCAGTCCGAACGTGCATTCCGAGACGCTCATGCGTTTTGACACTCGAACGCGCGTCACCATTGAAAGCCAACGCAACGCATGATCGGGTCTGAACGCGGCATTAGGCAGCGTTTAGACGAGACACTGCGACAGTAAAACGCTATAGTTGGATGTCGGTTGCTACCTCCCGTTCACATGTAGACTATGTTCCAGGAGGGTGAAAACTTAAGAGTTAAGATCCAGACTACATGGTAGGACAGATATGCTGCTCAGCAGGGCGCTCTTTCACCCCCCCGCATGAAGAAAAAGGTGTGAATTGCTATGACCCCCACCTCCCCGCTGCTCCCCGCATGTACATTTGGACATGCACAGTAGCCGAGAACAAACGCAAACAACAATGGCGGAGGGTACACTAACTAGCTACGTGTGCTTCGAGCGCTACACAGAGAATTCTACTCCTTCATTTGTCCATACAAAACCACGCAAAGCTGTAGTTTGTTTCCATTTTTGCAGCTGCTGTTAAATGCAGAATGATGTTGGAGCATTCTTTCATGTCTTACAGTAGATGTTTTTGAGGAAGTGAATATACTGCTGGGGGGGCCGGGCTCTAGAACTACATGGTTTTTTATCCTTGTATGAACGCTGTGAGATTTGCATAAGGAGCCTGGTCGTTTCTGTTAATAGCTAGTTTTGTCCTTAATCCAAAGAACTTTTTCAAGGGAATGAAAGTTCTTTGGAGATTTAAAACCTATGGGTGTGGTTAGACACACCCTGACTCATTAGCGCATTTAAGGTCTGTTAAGATGTGGTGTCATGGTCCTCCTGTGTTCTCCCCCTCCCTTTGTGTTTGTGTGTGTGTCAATCTGGGAGCAGCCTCCACCAGGGTCGGCACTAGATCATATACGGAATCGGGACGAAACCGGAAGTAACACTCGTACTTTTGAATTAGTTTTAGACTAATAAGTCCTCAAGTGGTGACTGGTTAAGTTTTAGGCGTCTGAGTAAGATGGTTAAGGTTAGGGTTAAGGGTGGGTTGGGATTATTTTATGGGAATGGCTGATTAAGTTTAGGCATTAATAGGTAATTTGTAATATTTACTTCCGCTTCCGTCCCGATTCCGTATATGATCTAGTGCTAACCCCTCCACCAGCCTCCACTTTAAATATTTGTTATGTCCTCAAAATAACAAACTTATTACACATTTCACAGACTTTTTTATGGTTAATTTACTTCATTAACAGATGTGAAAATGTTTTCACATTTGCTTGTGGTTTGTGTATCTTAGACATGTTGGAACCAGTGTTTGACTATTAAACTTTTGAGGAGAGTAAATACAGATAGGTCAGTTAGAAATTATATGACCCAGATACCAAAATTCAATGCCTTTAGGCTTTTTTTGTATAAATGATATGTGCTGAGTGTGACATTGCAATAGTGTTAGTCTTAATGCAGAAGAAGCCGATTTGAACATAAGTTAGCTGGAGCCGCTTTCCTTAAACAGGCATTTATTTTGTGCCGAAATAGGGCCAGACGTTTTATTTAGATGGTTGCTAAGGCAAGCTGGGGTTTCCCCAGCAGAAGGCATCTGAAATACGATTGGTCAGGACCAAATAACAATATCACAAAATAAACACCAGGATCAGAGTGAGCCCGAAATCACAGATTTTTAAGATCAAAATGGTGAATGTGACACAACCTGTTACTGAGCTAGAGGAGTTTACTTTCCCATGTCAATAGGAGCCAGAGTGAGCTGAACCAAAACATTCATGAACACTTCCCTAGTTAACAGGTTAACATTGTCCATGTACAGGCTTTGGTTTGACTTTAAAGCAAACACAAACTCTGCATGACCTTTATAGTGGACTTTCTTAGACACATGCATCACCCAGAGTGAAATGCTCAGGCATTCAGACCCTGCTCCCCCTCCTTATATCACAGTCAGGGGTCTCTCTATTGCTGAGTACTGCTGCTACTTTGAATACTTTCCCTGGGAGTCATTGTAGTTCTGCAAGTCCAGACACATTGCACATTAATGCAATTGCTCCACAGCAAGACCTTTATATCCCAAGAATGACACTGCTGCTCACACATTCCCCAGTTCATCATACACACTGCACTGAAGCTAATTTAAGGAACTATTTTGGGCCAGCTTCCCTTTGCAGACACCAGGGAGCAGTCAGTGAGAAACAGCTGGATGTTTGAAGCTGAGGACAGGAGAAATGTGTGTGAACACGATGTGTGGGCTGAAAATTAAAAAATGACAACACAACGTTTGGCAAGATAGACATTGACATAGAGAATGCAATAGGTCTGATGCTGTAGCAGGAGCAGTCAGTGGTAGTACAGGGGATATGTGTGTGTGTTATTTTTACTGTGGAGCACAAGTGCTAACAACAGCAGTTGTATTAGCAGTATTAGCAGCAGTAGCAGTAGTATTCACAGAAGCGTTATAAGTAGTATTAGTAATATTAGCAGTAGCAGCAGCACTATTAGCAGAAGCAGCAGCACTATAATGGTGATTTCACACCGCCAACGCTGGAACACTGAAGCCTCGCGCACCAGACGCACATTCTCTAGTTTTCAGAAGCAGGGGACTTCAGGGTGGCGCGCGCCGGAAGTGGCGGAAGTAGCCGGTGGGCTTTGATGCTAACTGAGTTAAGCTAGCGGCTTCTTGTGTAAAGTTCTTCTCCAATAATGCAGCTCTGCAGTGTCTGTGTCCAGAGACCTTCCAGAGAATTTATATAACAGCAGTATGTGTTCACGGAGGTGCGCCATAAGTTTATTCTAATATTAAACTGTACTTCCGCATCGGCAAACATGCTCGAAGCAGTTGCATAAGGTCACAGGAGCATGAAAACGCATATGTTCACAATCACTATGTCCCCCATTGTCAACCCTGGTTTAGTGCTGGTGTAGCTCCTGTTTTGGCTGTTTACGAGTACTATGTTCAGTCTGCTCGCTCAGACCGCTAATGTCCCCGTGACCACTTTGCGGCTCTCTGATTGGTCACTGCACGAGCGTCCGAGGAAACGCTCAGCTAAATTTATCTCCTGCGTGTGTCGATTTTCCGCTCCTGCCCCTCCCCCGCGACTTTGCCGTGCAGTTCGTGCGTCTCTACCGAGCAGTCCGTGCTTGCATTCCGAGACGCACATGCATTTCGACACTCGAACGCGCGTCACCATGGACTTTGCATTGAAAGTTGACGCAACGCATGATCCGGTCTGAACGCGGCTTTAGTATCCACAGTAGCAGGAGTAGTAGTAGAAGTAGTAATAGTAGTAGTAGCAGCAGCAGCAGAAGTAGTAGCAGCAGTAGTACCTCTCTCATGAGTATCTGGGCCCTCTGCACAAACACACTAGGGCTGGAGACGTCAAAGCGCTGCTGCAGACCGTCCAGACTCAGATTTTCCACTTTCTCATAACAGCTCTGCATCTTCACCGGGTGGAATGCCAAGATCGAGATCTTCTCCATGTGCTGCTCACAACAAGACCACAGGACAGAGGTCATCACAGACCAGAGAGACCAGAGACAGGTCTTGTGCTACTCACCTGGGCCACCGTGTCCCTTGTCCCATTGTTCAGAGTGTTCTCGCTCATATCGACCATCTCCCTGAAGAACAGCTCTCTGACCTCAGAGAAGCCGCGGCTCGTGGGCTCCATCAGCGCCTCCAGGATGGACGCGATGTACGGCTCAATACTGACCTTCAGGAGCTTCTCCGCTTTTGGCAGGACCACCCCTGCAGGAAGGCAGAGAGGTTACTGAGGATCGGACATGAGTGTACCGGGACCACCCCTGCAGGGAGGAAGGGGGTTACTGAGGCTGAGACATGAGTGTACCAGTGGAGGATATGCATCTGTTCCATCCACAAAACTTCCCTCTAAACACACACTTCCTCCAGCTCATCCGGAGTAATCTTAAGGCGTTCCCAGGCCACCAGAGAGACCCAGTCCTGCGTGTCCTGAGTCTTCTCCTGGAACACCTCCCCAGAAAGGCGTCTAAAGAGGCATTCTAAACAGATGCAAGAGCCACCTATACTGGCTCCTCTTCACGTGGAGAAGCAGATTTCATTTTTATTCCATTTCCTTTTAACGACCAGAAATCTTTTATAAATCCAAATGTACATGTTAGAGAAGCCTAAAAAAAATTCTGTTCAAACAATATGAAAAGAGACTGATAATGACTCTATATTGATATAAATACTACAGTGATTTAAAAAAAAAACACTTATTTGGAAATGTATATAGAAAAAGGAAAAAAAATCGATTTGATTTTTGGAATTCATAGGGATACACACACAATATATTATTTATTTATTTATTTATTTATTTGACAGGGACAGTACAAAAAAACATTGTCACCCACAGGTAACCGATGTGAAGTACACAAGGCTTCTAGCCAAAGGCTAATTTGCAGCCCCCGTCCCTGGTTAGGCTTTTGGAGAAAGCGAAGAAACAAGTTTTTTTTTTAAAAAGGGGAGAAAAGAACAACCACACATCAATAAAAATAACTGACCCCATTTGTCCATACTACATTCAGGTTTAGTGCTCACACTTCTGATTTTCCTTAAGCCACTTTTTCAGTTTAGTGGAGAAAAGTCTAGTGTCCGACTGTGACTTCAGCTCCAGCGGCAAAGAGTTCCACAGATGTGAGGATATAATGGAAACGTATGATTTTGCTTGTAAGATTTGTTTGTCAGTGCACACAGAGACAGAGACAAAGACACAGACACAGACACAGAGAGAGACTAAAAAACCACAATGTTTTTATCAAATTCAAATGTTGCATGGTGGGTCTTGGCACACGGGGGAAACTAATATTTGAGTTGCTTTGTATGAATTTTAAAAGGAGCAATATGTAAAAATCTGGCCAAAAGTGGTACTGCAGTCACAGTCAATATTTTCTCCCTGACTCAGGTTGCCAGATACACTCCAAATCCAGCAGCAAACACAGGGAATTATTTTATCAGTTGTTTGTCTGTCTCTCACATTGCCATGAGCCGTGCTAATGTTGAATGAATGTTTTGATTAATGGTTTTTGATTATTATTATTTGGACATTTGAGATAAAAACCAAAAACAAAATAAAAGCAATTTAATTATACATAGATTATGCAAAATAAATAAGCAATTGATGTCCAAAATAGGAGTGGGAAGAATGGATGTTGGAACATATTTCTTCAGTGTATCAACATCAGGGTTTCCTCCAGAGGATATCACCCTTCAATTTGATTTATTCCTTATTGTTTAGACATACATGTCCCACATCAAAAAGAGACAAACATTATTTTAATTAGGGTACATGTGGTCTCAAATGATTATTTTTACAATTAAGCTATAATCTGCAAAAAACATAATGATCTTGGTTTTTGACCGTTTTTTGAGCAATCTGTCAAAAAATTTGATACTATGAAGTTGAATTAAAACTGCCTATGCCCAAGTCGCCAAGGTATAAGCGCAACGGCCTAACCACTATACCATCGTCAAACACAATTTTAACTACTAGATGCAGAATGGGTTTAAAGCACAAGTTTTGCATCACACGAAAAGTTTTATCCGCTGTCTAAATTTTTCAAAGGCGTCCCAATATAAATCCTCGTTTTAGTCATTGTTTTGTCATTAATTATTTGAGAGTCATAACAAGACCTTTTTTAGTTCTGCGGTGACAAGTTATTCAACCAGTGAGATTGACTAGCCGTGTGGAGTTCTGGCAACCCGATCACGGACTTCCATGGGACTTCCTGATTCGCGAAGCGGCGGAAGGCAGGCCGGCAAAATGAAAACAATAACAACTTTTACGGGTCGTAAAACTAATTTTGATATTCAAATATCTTGGCTGAACTACTGTTATCAGTTAAAGATGTATTCGAAAAGAGCATGATTTAATATCGCCTTTTGAAATATTGAGGCCATTTAATGATGACTTGACATGCAAATATTACATACTGCTACTTTAAATAAAAATACCCTCAACATCTAAAGAACACATAAAAATGTATCCAAAGTGATAATTTTTAAGCATTTCATTGCAAAAACACACGGCAAAAACATGTACACACACACACTGCTAAAACAAACACACAGAAAAAACACACACGCTGCAAAAAACACACAGCAAAAACGCACACACAGCAAAAACACACGTGATGGTGCAGTGTGTGTGTTTTTGCAAACACACACGCACTGCAAAAACACAGCAAAAAAAACACACACTGCAAAAACACACACATATTCGAAAAACACACTCCAAAAACAAACTGCACAAACGCACAGCAAAAACACACACACTGCAAAAACAAACGCACAATGCAATACACACACAGCAAACACACACACTGCAAAAACACACGCACAATGCAATACACACACACACACTGCAAAAACACACATATACACTGCAAACACACACACTGTAAGGACACTGCAAAAACACACACACACAGCAAAAACACACACACTGCAAAAACACACGCACAATGCAATACACACACACACTGCAAGAACACACATATACACTGCGAACACACACACTGCAAAAACACACACACTCACAATGCAATACACACACACACTGCAAAAACACACATACACACACATACACTGCAAACACACACACTGCAAAGACACACTGCAAAAACACAGACACACGGCAAAAAACACACACACATATATACACACTGCAAACACACACACATACACACAAACACACACTGCAAAAACACACAGCAAAAACACACACACACTGCAAAAACACATCTGATGCACTGTAAAAACATGGTCAGTCTGATAGACCTGACCATAGCCAGTCAGTCTCTGTGCTGTGTCTGTTGATGTGGTTGTGGTCTGCTTCTTCATTTCAATAGCCTCCTGTATCCATCATTTTTAAATGTCTTGTGTTCCTCCCATTTTCAGAGTCCATCCATCTATCCATCCATTTTCTTCCGCTTCATCCGTTGCCGGCTTCCCCATCCACATACACTTCCTCCAGCTCGTCCGGGGGAACCCAAGGCATTCCCAGGCCAGCTGAGAGACAGTCTCGCCAGCGTGTCCTGGATCTTCCCCAGGGTCTCCTCCCGGTCGGACGTCCCCAGGGAGGCGTCCAGGAGGCATCCGGAACAGATGCCCGAGCCACCTCAACTGGTTCCTCTCGACGTGGAGAAGCAGCGGCTCTACTCCGAGCTCCTCACCTTATCTCTAAGGGAGCGCCCAGCCACTCTGCGGAGGAAACTCATTTTGACCGTTTGTGTTCGCGATCTCGTTCTTTCGGTCATTACCCAAAGCTCATGACCATTGGTGAGGGAGGCAACGAAGATTGACCAGTAAATCGAGAGCTTTGCCTTTCGTCTCAGCTCCTTTACCACAACGGTCCGATACAACGACCGCATCACTGCGCACGCTGCACAGATCACCCTGTCAATCTCACGCCCCATCTTTCCCTGAACCGTGAACAAGACCCCGAGATACCCAGATGTATGTGCGGACTGGGTCGTCGAGGTCTCCGCTTTCGACTGCGCCCAGTCCTCTCCGCACCTCTCCAATTTTCACAGTCCATAATATTATTATAATAATATTAGGTTTTTTTTGTTACTGGTGGACTCATTTCTGCAAACCAGATGTCAGTGGCCTCATTGTGAAAGCTTATTGCAGTTTTTGCATTACTCTTGATTACTACAGATTCATGTTCAGGGTCAGCACAACCTCTACTTCACACAGTTTGTGAAGGAGTAAATCTCACTTTTGAAGTCAGTGCCTTCTCAATCACAAACCTCACTGAACGTCACTGATCAGCATAGACCCACTTGTCCCCAACATGCTGCAGTATGTCCACGGGACAGGCCAGGATCCTCTGTGATGCTGCTGTTCCAACAGATCACACCATATACAGTGGAGCAAAAAAGTATTTAGTCAGCCACCGATTGTGCAAGTACTCCCACTTAAAATAAGGACAGAGGTCTGTAATTTTCATTATAGGTACACGTCAACTGTGAGAGACAGAATGTGAAAAAAAAAAAAAAAAAAATCGAGGAATTCACATTGTAGGATTTTTCAAGAATTTATTTGTAAATTATGGTGGAAAATTAGTATTTGGTCACTTCAAACAAGGAAAATCTCTTTCTCTCACAGACCTGTAACTTCTTCTTTAAGAAGCTCTTCTGTCCTCCACTCGTTACCTGTATTAATGGCACTTGTTTGAACTTGTCATCTGTATAAAAGACACCTGTCCACAGCCTCAAACAGTCAGACTCCAAACTCCACTATGGCCAAGACCAAAGAGCTGTCGAAGGACCCCAGGAAAAAAATTGTAGACCTGCACCAGACTGGAAAGAGCGAATCTACAATAGGCAAGCAGCTTGGTGTGAACAAATCAACTGTGAGAGCAATTATCGGAAAATGGAAGACATACTAGACCACTTATAATCTCCCTCGATCGCAAGATCTCATCCCGTGGGGTCAAAATGATCATTAGAAGAGTGATAAATAATCCCAGAACCACAAGGGGGGACCTGGTGAATGACCTGCAGAGAGCTGGGACCAAAGAAACAAAGGTTACCATCAGAAACACACGGGGGGACCTGGTGAATGACCTGCAGAGAGCTGGGACCAAAGTAACAAAGGTTACCATCAGAAACACACTACGACGACAGGGAATCAAATCCTGCAGTGCCAGACGTGTCCCCCTGCTGAAGCCAGTGCATGTCCAGGCCCGTCTGAAGTTTGCCAGAGAGCACATGGATGATACAGCAGAGGATTGGGAGAATGTCATGTGTTCAGATGAAACCAAAGTAGAACTGTTTGGTATAAACCCAACTCGTCGTGTTTGGATACTGAGTTGCATCCCAAGAACACCATACCCACTGTGAAGCATGGGGGTGGAAACGTCATGCTTTGGGGCTGTTTTTCTGCTAAGGGGACAGGACGACTGATCGGTGTTAAGGAAAGAATGAATGTATCGTGAGATTTTGAGCCAAAACCTCCTTCCATCAGTGAGAGCTTTGAAGATGAAACGTGGCTGGATCTTCCAGCATGACAATGATCCCAAACACACCGCCCGGGCAACGAAGGAGTGGCTCCGTAAGAAGCATTTGAAAGTCCTGGAGTGGCCTAGCCAGTCTCCAGACCTCAACCCCATTGAAAATCTGTGGAGGGAGTTGAAAGTCCGTGTTCACTGCTCTCGAGAAGATCTGCATGGCGGAATGGGCCAAAATACCAGCTACTGTGTGTGCAAACCTGGTAAAGACCAATAGTAATCGTTTGACCTCTGTTATTGCCAACAAAGGTTATATTACAAAGTATTGAGTTGAATTTTTGTTATTGACCACATACTTATTTTCCACCATAATTTACAAATAAATTCTTTAAAAATCCTACAATGTGAATTCCTGGATTTTTTTTTTCACATTCTGTCTCTCACAGTTTAAGTGTACCAATAATGAAAATTACACACCTCTGTCATTATTTTAAGTGGGAGAACTTGCATAATCGGTGGCTGACTAAATACTTTTTTGCCCCACTGTACAACAGAGTGTAGATTAATCCACCCTTTCATTATCCCTTCCCTGGATGTTCACTGGAGCTGCAGAGTGACATCTGTGGACATCCACCACCATCTCCTTGGTCTTGCCCATGTTGATGAGGAGGTGGTTCATCTCCTTGGTCTCACATAGGTCTGGTAGTCCAGTACCCACTCTGGACTCCCTTATTTCTCTCACTCCAAACAGAGATGCAAGATATGCTGTATATGTTCATTGTCTTTTATGAAATCTCCCATTTGATTGATTTGGTGGTTGTACCCCATTTTGGGGCCTTAATATTACTGGCTTTTCAGTCAATTCACTTGATATAATGAAGCTGTATATAAGCCAAGTCTAAACTTTCATGATTGAGGATTTGAAAACAAAAAAACAAAACCTGCCCAATCCCATGTCGAAGGGAAATGCATGAAAGTTCAGCTTTCTCCGATTTGAGGTTTAGAGCAGACCTTGGTCTTTAATTTAAGACCAAGATCAAGACCACCATCTAAAAAGATTTGAAACATTTCTAACATTTTAGGTATGATATGTACAATGAAATGCATAAAAATGATCACTTTGAATTTCAATTTGTCAGGCGTAAAGACATGCGTATTTTTACGTTGGGGGTAATTCAAATACATTCTTATGTAGCAAACTCCAACATCTTTTTTTCCTAGTTTCCCCCATGTGTCAAGAGCCTCCATGCAATTTCAAGTTGATATGACAATGTATGTGGCTTCAAAACCTTCAGATTTTGCAAAAGGCAGACCTAAAAAAACAGGTTATTTTAGCCTCTGAGACCAATCAGGGCCAAGTTGGGAGTGAGCCCTAGCAACTCGTTATGGCCCAAAGTATAAGATAACATAAAATAATAGTTAAAAAAAGCATAGCAACACATATAACGTGTAGCCAGAACACATAACGTGTAGCCTGACCTTAGGAAAGGTCTGAGGGCCACATAGAAACATGAATCCGGGCCACAATTTTCCCAGGCGAGGAGTGCTTACCTCTGATCTTGTTGCTGACGTACTCTTTAGAGGTGATAATCTGGTCCATGTCGGTCCTCACCGAGGCCTCTAGGGCTGGGTGGGCCGCCTCACAGCTCTGCAGGAGGGCCTCGTACTGGGCCTGGCACTGGCTTTGCACAAGGCTGTACACTGCATCACTGATCTACACGCACACAAGAGCATGTGTGAGGAGTGGACTGACACAGTGTGACATCTCCATAGTGTTATAGCCTTAAAGTGATAGTCTAACTCTAAATGAATTACACATTTTAGGAAATGTAATCGAGTAATGCCAAGAGCTGTCAATCATCGGCGCTGATGCTCGTAGCTGCGCGCATGCTCAGTTGTTTGTTTTTGCGGAACCTCCGAATCAAGCCTCTATCAGGCTCTGGAACTATATGAAAACTGATCAAAGAATTATGAACATCCGCGCTGAGTTACTTATGCATATACTGAACCATTCATAATCAGATCCACTGCAGGTGTGTCCTATAATGTGCAATTCATAATAGCTTCTTCCGGGTTTGCCGCAATCGCTTTTTGTGTGCATAAAAACATTTTTTTCATTAAAACGTTAAAAATAATTCTGAAAACCTCTGTGTATAAACTCATTGTGTCCCATTGACGCACAAATACGTCAAAGCAAATAGTAACGTCGTGTGCCATTGACGTGCCTTTTTCGCTATTTTCACGTTCCCAGATGTCTATTGTATCTAATATGTATGGGGATGACTTGAGACCATATTTTATCGAGCCAGCAGGTGGCAGCATTGCTCTCTGAATGGTTTGAAAACATGTAGGTGCACATGTTGTGCCTCTTTTTTCTCAACTTTCTGGTGATTTCAGTAAAACTTCCCTCTACTCAACGGAGGATTACAGGGGAACGAAAAAAGCTATAAACAAAATTCTTTTTGCTGAGGAAAGTAGACAGTCCATTCTTTTAGGATCGGATTTCAGATAGTCATAGTACACAATATTCTGTGGGTCTTGAAAAATCAGTAAAAATCATCATAAATGGCTGGCACTGTGGGAGTACCTGTTCTGAAATAGGCTGGCATTCAAAGAGTAATGCATATGTATAATGTGTTCTCTGATTAACATTTATAAGTGTTACGGAAATGTAGCCATAGACCAATCAGAAAGGAAGGGGGAGGGAGCTTGCGTCGTTTTTTTTTTTTTTCAAATCAAGTACCTCTATCTCTCTCTCTTTCTGACAAACTCCAGACAATCACTTTAACACGGAAGAAGACTGTTTGACCATGAGCTTGTTGGAGTCAATATCTTATATGGACATTTGTTCAGACAGGGTTAGCTTTGGGCCATAAAAGATGCAGATGCAAACTAACGTGCTGCTAACATTGTTGCTAAGGCAAGCTGGAGTTTCCCCCCGTGAATTAACAATGCATCTGATGGTAAATTCAGATATGCGGCAGAAAGCTTGAAATAATAAAAAACACCAAGCTTGCAGAGAGCCTTCTTTTTCAAGCCCAACATTGTGATGTCAATAATATAAAGAGACCTGACCCTGCACAGCAAGGGTGGAGGGTAAATAATATAATATACAGAAAATATATATATATAGAAAAATACATACAGTGTAATACTTTACAGTGTAAAGTATTCGGCCCCCTTGAACCTTTCAACATTTCGCCACATTTCAGGCTTCAAACATAAAGATAAAACATTTTTAATTTTTTGTCATGAATCAACAACAAGTGGGACACAATCGTGAAGTGGAACGAAATTTATTGGATAATTGAAACTTTTTTAACAAATAAAAAACTGAAAAGTGGGGCGTGCAATATTATTCGGCCCCTTTTCTTTCAGTGCAGCAAACTCACTCCATAAGTTCAGTGAGGATCTTTGAATGATCCAATGTTGTACTAAATGACTGATGATAAATAGAATGCACCTGTGTGTGATCAAGTCTCCGTATAAATGCACCTGCTCTTTGATAGTCTCAGGGTTCTGTTTAAAGCGCAGAGAGAACCATGACGACAAAGGAACACACCAGGCAGGTCCGAGATACTGTTGTGGAGAAGTTTAAAGCCGGATTTGGATAGCAAAAGATTTCCGAAGTTTTAAACATCTCAAGGAGCACTGTGCAAGCAATTATATTGAAATGGAAGGAGTATCAGACCACTGCAAATCTACCAAGACCCGGCCGTCCCTCCAAACTTTCATCTCAAACAAGGAGAAGACTGATCAGAGATGCAGTCAAGAGGCCCATGATCACACTGGATGAACTGCAGATAACTACAGCGGAGGTGGGAGAGTCTGTCCATAGGACAACAATCAGTCGTGCACTGCACAAATCTGGCCTTTATGGAAGAGTGGCAAGAAGAAAGCCATTTCTCAAAGATATCCATAAAAAGTCTCGTTTAAAGTTTGCCACAAGCCACCTGGGAGACACACCAAACATGTGGAAGAAGGTGCTCTGGTCAGATTAAACCAAAATCGAACTTTTTGGCCACAACGCAAAACGATGTGTTTGGCGTAAAAGCAACACAGCTCATCACCCTGAACACACCATCCCCACTGTCAAACATGCTGGTGGCAGCATCATGGTTTGGGCCTGCTTTTCTTCAGCAGGGACAGGGAAGATGGCTAAAATTGATGGGAAGATGGATGGAGCCAAATACAAGACCATTCTGGAAGAAAACCTGTTGGAGTCTGCAAAAGACCTGAGACTGGGACGGAGATTTATCTTCCAACAGGACAATGATCCAAAACATAAAGCCAAATCTACAATGGAATGGTTCACAAATAGACGTATCCAGGTGTTAGAATGGCCAAGTCAAAGTCCAGACCTGAATCCAATCGAGAATCTGTGGAAAGAGCTGAAGACTGCTGTTCACAAACGCTCTCCATCCAACCTCACTGAGCTCCAGCTGTTTTGCAAGGAAGAATGGGAAAGAATTCCAGTCTCTCGATGTGCAAAACTGATAGACATACCCCAAGCGACTTGCAGCTGTAATTGCAGCAAAAGGTGTTGCTACAAAGTATTAGCGCAAGGGGGCTGAATAATATTACACGGCCCACTTCAGTTTTTTATTTGTTAAAAAAGTTTAAATTATCCAATAAATTTCGTTCCACTTCACGATTGTGTCCCACTTGTTGTTGATTGACAACAAATATTTTTTTTATATCTTTATGTTTGAAGCCTGAAATGTGGCGAAATGTTGAAAGGTTCAAGGGGGCCGAATACTTTAGCAAGGTGTATCTCTGACACTCTTTCTCATGCATCCCCCTGTAAAAAATAATTGTCCAACCCGGCTCTTGGTTCTGGTTCTATCCAGGCCGAGCTGGTAATAAAGTAACCGTGCTGCTGGAAGCCATGGTTTTCAAGGAAATTCCCCGGATACTTGTTTGTTGTGGGTAGATTACGTACTACATACTAATGTGCAATAGAAGCACAACCAGGTAGAGTAGAGTAGATCTGGTCACACACCAGAATCCAGTGCCTCTGTCGGTCGTGGAGTTTCCCTTTGAGTCGAGGAGAGATGAGGTCCCTAAGCTCCGGGTGAAGCACCTCCATCACCAGGTTGGACAGAATCTGCAGAGCCAATCACAGAAGGTTTTTTAGAGTCTTGTGAACAATGCAGTGTTGTGAGAATGACAAACAATGACATTAGCATTATTGGCATTTTAGCCTCTTTAAGTGATAGTCTCGAACTCTAAATGAATTACAAATTTTAAGAATTGTATTAAATTGACCTCCTGGCCTTAAATGATATAAAATAAGTATTTTTATGAATTATAATATTTTGGGTAAGTCCCGCCTTCCCTTATTTTAGCTATGGCTCAAAATCCACAATGCTGTCCACCTGAACTAATCAAGTGATGGGGGCTGTCAAAGTTTCCACGGAGCCTCCAAATCAAGCCTCCACCCCATGGATCAATAATAACATATTATAACAATAATAACTCAGCTCAAGAGCAGAAGATCCTACCACCAATTAGGGCTTTGACTTCAAATATCAAACTTCAAATATAATTTGAAGTTGTAAAAGCTGCGCTTGTAATATTTGACAGCCCTTGATATATTCGAACAAATATTAGACAGACCTTAATATTTGAAGCTGTAATGGGCATTATCTTTTTTAAAAGGATATATAAAATGGTTTGTTCCCAAACATTTCACTGCGACGTGGTTAGACGGGTAACAGCTAGGCTAGCAAGTAGGTTACTTCAAAACTAGAACTCTGGAACTACATGAAAACTGAACAAAGAATTCTGAACATCAGCGGTGAGTGACCCAAATATAAACTCAACCTAAATCCATAATCAAATCTTCTGCAAATGTGTCATAAAATGTCCTCTTAATGTTAATGGTTCAGGGTTAACCACGATCGCTTTTAAGACACATTAAAACAGATAGTTCTGAAAACCTTTGTGCATTTAAATGTGTTGATTGATTGTTATTTGTGTTATTGAGCATGGCTAGCTCTGATAGATTCTCTCGCACAGACAGAAGAAGTTAGTCACAGGCGCTGAAAGCCCGTTTTGACGGAGTGTGCAAACAACTGTCCGGAGTAATATTAGTATTTAGTACACCTGAAATACAAGCACAGAGTGCGTTGCCAAAGGGCAGCAGTCATTATTGGTTTGAGAGGTCCGTTATCAAGAAATAATGATCACTAGAACGTATTGAAATTACATTCAAATCAGTGGATCATTCTACTGCGCCAGTAAGGAACTGTATAACAAATTATGATTAAATATTTAAATTCATAATCTCTCCTCCGCACGTCTTGGCCCATTGACCATGGGCATATTCAAAATTGCCGCGGGCAGTCCCTCCCACAGGAAAATGTGAAAAAAAACGCTTTAGCGCATTTAACAAGTGCATTCAAAAGTCCACAGCGGCTAAACTAGGCTGGTCCAAAAACATGCATCTGGAACGTAGCGTTGAGCCAAGAGCCGACTTATGGACCAGGCCGTAAAGCAGTTTTGGAGAAGAAAGAAGGCGGCAATACAAATGCATTGGGTATTTCTGTTTCCGGCTACGCCACTAACGGCAAGGCGTGAGATTGCAAGCATGTCGGCTCACATGCTCATGGACCTTTTTGAGCCGGGCACGGCAGAGATTTGCAAACTTGTTGGAGAATGGATACATTTCCTACCAATTAACGAACTAATTAATATTTAAAAACTAATTCAGACAGAATTATTTTTGTTTTGAAGGGCGAAGAAAAAGCTCTGTCTATGATGTCATAGTCTGAGGATTTGTGAATATGGAATTTGTTTGAAAAACCCACATTTCTGGATTATATCTCCATACTGGACTATATTTCAGAAATCCCAAGATGATATAACTTTTCCATGAACATTTACGGTATTAATGAGCCACAGCAAGCATGGATTACTTCAATATTACAGACACAGCACATGTCCAAATGTAAGAAATGCTATGAGAAATGTTTGTTTTGGTGCCAAAATTATGCTTTATATCTTTTTAGTGGCTGGTGTTAATTGGTTAAACTCTCCTGCATCAGCAGGGAACCAGGTAAAAAGTAACCAGAGTTGTGTTTGTGATCTCTTCTGGTTAAGTTAGTCTTGATTATTTATGATTCTAATGCCTTGCATTGTCTCTATCTCGTTTTGTTAAGCACTTTCAGTTGCCTTGTGTATGAACTGTTCTATACAAAGAAAATTACCTAGTGTTAGCATTATATTTAGCGTTAGCAAAGCAAACGCAGCGGTCTTACTTGAACCGGTGGTCCGCACATGAGGTCCCACGTGCCGTACTGTCCTTTAGCCTGACGGTACAGCCGCACCGCGTCTGTGAAGGCCGGTGTCTGAACTCTGTTCTCCTCCGACAAACCTGAAACACACCAGATTTTACTTAAAGAACAAAGTTTTGTATTAATCAGTGAGAGACATGACCAGCCCATAAACGTGTGACATCAGCCTCTGACCCCAACTGCGTTTTTTGTTCAGCTTTTTTTAATAATATCTGAGTGTATTTTATCTTTTTAATTCAGTGGTTCAGCAAATAGCAAACTTAGTCCCGACTGAAACCCACTAGTAGCACAAGGCTACACAAGCTAACGAGGACATGAAAGTGACAATGAAATTTGCTCAAATATGCACATTATTAGTCCTCACCTTGGATGCTCCGTGAGAGGCGACCGTTCCACCATTGGCAGATCTACGAAAGAAGTCCCTTCGTCTCACCGCAGAGTTGGAATGAGACACAATCTCTAGTGTCCAAACTTTTTGAAGTCTCGCTGGTGGGGGCACACCTCCACGGCCGGCTGATGTCACTGAGCGCTGCATATTGTGACAACCTGTCGTGTGGAGAGATCCGTCAGCTCCGGACCCCTCCTCGTTCAACACCTAAGCGCCCCGCTTCCGAATACGAGCCCGCGGATTCCGAGGAGCCATCCTGCGCCGTGGCCCCATGTCCTGAGTCTGGCAAACCGCTTGCGCCCTCTCCACCGACATCCCGGCCCCCTCAGCAGAATCCCCTGGACACTGCAGCGTACTCTACTGCTCGAGGATCCAAGTCCACTGCGATGAAAACGCTCCTAAAGGAAGCAGTCCTCAGGCGAAAGAGCGGTCCACCAGCCATGTTTAGGCCTGTTCCCCTTCTTTGACCCCAGTGCAGCAGCCTCAGACTGTGTGTTCGAGCCTTCATCACCACCGCATCACCTCCACCGGTCAGCAGCAGCGCCCAGAGCCAGCCCCTCTCACCGCTCCAGCGCCCCGAGCACAACAGTGTGGGTCGCCTGTAGCTGAGAGTCAGCACCCCCGCCCTCCTCTCCAATGTGTCTCATCGGCGCTCAGGCTCGGGTCCGCTTCGGGTGAAACCCGCGGGTTCCGTCCCAACCGAGCTCCCTTCCTCCGAGCCACTCTTCCGCCCCGACCACTCTGATTATTGGTGATTCCATCGTGGAGACACGTCCGCTTCTTTAAGGGGCGGTCTTTCTCGCTGTATCCCGGAGGCTATGTACCAGACCTTGCTCCATCCCCGTCTCCCTCCTCTGCTTCAGTCCCTGCCCTGATAACCGTTTCCAAGGTAGTCGTGCTGTGGGGAATATCGACATGAAACTTCAGCAGTCAGAAGTCACGAAGAAAACATTATTATGGACTGTTCCACCTCGCTTCAATCCTCCGGACTATCTGTTTTTATTTCTGTTCCAATCATTGGTAAACAGAGGTGACTCTGCCTTCTAACAGGCCGTGTTGTGCCCGCTGCATGTGTGTGCTTCAGGCTACATGCAGCTCTTTAACGTGTTGTTCCTTTGTGGAATAAACTTTGCACCTTTTCTGGAAACGTTACGAAGCCTATCGTCGCAGACGGATTTACACCCAAACAGATACGTAGCACCTGTTGATGGATTACATACTTATGTTTGTTCCATCGTCCCCGAGGGGCGAGACTGTTTACCATCTGAGCCCCCCTCTACCCCCCGGCACCCCCCGCCTCCTGCTCACCTGCACCGGTGAGTAACAACGGTGCAACACTTGCGCCCTGTCCGTCTGGCAGTGCATTACAGTCCAAACACTAACAGTGCTGACTCCCTTCTGACGCCTGGGAGCTATAGAACAACGAACAAGGGTTTTCCACATTTAGGCCAATTGAGACTGTGTTGTTCCTCGCACCAGCTCAAAAATGTTTTTAAATTCTAAAAAAACGAAATCAAAACAGGACAGACGCATTTAGACGTCCAACCTGCAAATCTAATTTCTGTGCCCTGTAGAAATCTATCAACGCACATTAATCGACTCTGACGTTATTTACTAAACTTGCTATGCTTGATTTCAATATCTATGTAACAAATCATTTTAAAATTAATAATTTTATCACTTCTTATGATCTTGATTTTATGCTTATGGCTGAAACATGGCTCGACCAAAAACAGAAGCCAGTTCTAATAGATGCAACACCACCACAATTTTAAATTCCGAATCCGAAAATACGAGAAAACAAAAGGGGGGAGGCATAGCTGCAGTTTTTAGAGAGCACTTTGTCTCCCATAGAATGCCCCTTGGAAATTTTTCATCGTTTGAGTATATTTCTTTTAAAATGGCACAAAAGCAATCTTCTACCTTTTCATTGTCCTGTACAGGCCACCACAGTCATTTGCGATTTTATTGACCATTTTTACCTGAACTACTTTCTTCGTCGTGCACAGATTTTGATAAGTGTTGTTATTACAGGTGATTTTTAATGTACAATGTGATACTGTTGATGACAGAAATTCAAAGGAGCTGGCTTCTGATTTTGAGACTTTGGTTTCATTCAGCCACGTGAGTGTCCCCTCCCACGAGACAGGGGGCACACTCTTGACCTGCTAATTACAAAGGGGGTTAATGAATCAAATGTTAATGTAGTTGATGTTGCTTTGTCAGATCATTTTCTGTGATATTTTTTTGACGATGTGTTTTGCTAGCAAACCACCAGCTGAATTTACAACTGTTAGAAGAAGACACATACATGAAAACACAAAAAGTGAACTGTTCATGGGAATGCTAAATTTGAGAACTCATTGCTCTACTGTTTGATGAATTGTATAACTCTGTCACCACCATGTTCCGACCCTGTTTCTGGACGCCATTGCTCCTGTGACGGTTAAAATAGTTACCAGTAAGAAAAAGGCCCCCATGTGACTAAGCAGACTCTGTAGGGCACAGAAGCAGAAGTGCCGGAAGGGGCCGAACGGAAGTGGCGAAAGTCCAATTTCCAGGGCATTATGAAATCTTTAAAGATGAATTTGGGTGAATTTACCGGGTTCTACGTAGAACAAGAGAAATGTATTTTTCTGATCCATTATGGAGGTTGCAGTAACAATTTCGTGTTATGTTTTCAACAGTTGGTAGATTTAACGATCCCCACTGTAAAGTTGCCCCTCAGAATTAATTTATTTGTAAATTATGGTGGAAAATAAGTATTTGGTCACTTCAAACAGGGAAGATCTCTGGCTCTCACAGACCTGTAACTACTTCTTTAAGAAGCCCTCCACTCACACACTACACACATTTGTATATACAGTGCCTTGCGAAAGTATTAGGCCCCCTGAACCTGTAAAAATTTCGCCACATTTCAGTCTTCAAACATAAAGATATAAAATTTACATTTTTTGTCATGAATCAACAACAAGTGGGACACAATCGTGAAGTGGAACGAAATTTATTGGATAATTTAAACCTTTTTAACAAATAAAATACTGAAAAGTGGGGCTTGCAATATTGCACTGTGCAAGCAATTATATTGAAATGGAAGGAGTAGCTATCTGCAGTTCATCCAGAGTGATCATGGGCCTCTTGGCTGCATCTCTGATCAGTCTTCTCCTTGTTTGAGATGAAAGTTTGGAGGGACGGCCGGGTCTTGGTAGATTTGCAGTGGTCTGACACTCCTTCCATTTCAATATAATTGCTTGCACAGTGCTCCTTGAGATGTTTAAAGCTTGGGAAATCTTTTTGTATCCAAATCCGGCTTTAAACTTCTCCACAACAGTATCTCGGACCTGCCTGGTGTGTTCCTTTGTCTTCATGGTTCTCTCTGCGCTTTAAACAGAACCCTGAGACTATCAAAGAGCAGGTGCATTTATACGGAGACTTGATTACACACAGGTGCATTCTATTTATCATCATCAGTCATTTAGGACAACATTGGATCATTCAAAGATCCTCACTGAACTTCTGGAGTGAGTTTGCTGCACTGAAAGTAAAAGGGGCCGAATAATATTGCACGCCCCACTTTTCAGTTTTTTTATTTGTTAAAAAGGCTTAAATTATCCAATAAATTTCATTCCACTTCACGATTGTGTCCCACTTGTTGTTGATTCCTGACAAATTAAAATGTTATATCTTTATGTTTGAAGCTTGAAATGTGGCGAAATGTTGAATGGTTCAAGGGGGCTGAATACTTTCGCAAGGCACTGTATTGTGTGTGCTCCCGGTGTGCTCTTACTACTGTCCTATATGTGCGCTGCAACATCAAAATTTCCCCACTGTGGGATGAATAAAGGAATTCTTATCTTATCTCGTTACCTGTATTAATGGCACCTGTTTGAACTCGTTATCTGTATAAAAGACACCTGTCCACAGCCTCAAACAGTCAGACTCCAAACTCTACTATGGCCAAGACCAAAGGATGATACAGCAGAGGATTGGAAGAATGTCATGTGGTCAGATGAAACCAAAGTAGAACTGTTTGGTATAAACTCAACTTGTCGTGTTTGAATACTGAGTTGCATCCCAAAGACCATACCTACTGTGAAGCATGGAGGTGGAAACGTCATGCTTTGGGGCTGTTTTTCTGCTAAATGCTGTGAGCTATACAAATGCAAATCAGGGTTGAGGGGGAGCACAACTTTGCTCCATGCTGCACAACTACTTTCAGTCTGCAGCATGGATCAGGTCAGCACACTGTAGACCCGGATTTTGTAAATGCTCAAACTGTTTACACACACACCATGGATCTATTGTAATAACGACACACACACACACACACCATGGATCTATTGTAATAACGACACACACACACACACCATGGATCTATTGTAATAACGACACACACACACACCATGGATCTATTGTAATAACGACACACACACGCCATGGATCTATTGTAATAACGACACACACACACACACACCATGGATCTATTGTAATAACGACACACACACACACACACACACACACACACACACACACCCCATGGATCTATTGTAATAACGACACACACACGCCATGGATCTATTGTAATAACGACACAATCACACACACACACCATGGATCTATTGTAATAACGACACACACACACACACACACACACCATGGATCTATTGTAATAACGACACACACACACACACACACACCATTTTGCGCATGCGCAAAACGCAACTTAACACTTTGCCTGAAGTCGACTGTGGAGTCTCGTGGAACGTGAAGAGAGGACTCTTTTGAATGTACGGTAAGTGTTAAGACACGTTGTTCATTGTTATAAAGGTATAAAGCTAAAGAAGTGTGTTAAGAACGTGTACACCCATCCATCCATCCATCCATTTTCTTCCCTTTAATCCATTTCTGGGTCAGGGGGGTGGCAGTCAGAGATGCCACCCAAGTCTCATAGCACCAGCCCCTCACTGACCCTCTGCAGGTGGTGAGTCCACAGGAGGACGGCTGCTCTCTGAGTGTGAGCATAGCCTTGATCTTTCAGTGGGGGCTTTGGGCAAAGTGGGGTTAAGTGTCTTGCCCAAGGACACAACGACAGCAGTCATCAGTGGGAGTCAGTGGAGAAGGTGCAGAGGTGGGAATTGAACCCACAACCTTCTGGCCTTAAGGCCAATGCTCTACCAACTGAGCTACTGTCGCCCGAACGTGTACACATTAAACTATATTATCTTATAAAACTCATGTGTTCGACCAGCTCAGCGGTGAATGCAGTGACTGTGGCCGTGTTCAGAGCCGCTCTCCCGGAGGCCTGAGAGCGCTCTGTCCGGGCCTCCGGGAGTTTACTGAGGACAGCGGTGAATGTAGCTGTTAGTAGTGTGAGATTTCATAACACTTTTAAGCAACTTTTGTTAAAGTTAAACTCATCATTCTATCAATGTGCAGAAGCCAGTACTTTTCCCTTGTTTTGTCTATCTGAAGGCCAAGCTACATGGCACTGTGGCAGCTGCTGATTGGAGGTCTCCATGCCTCCGCTCTGTATAATACACTTGCATTCTGTTGTATCTGTTGTTTGTGCTGTCTCTACCATCGACAATAAAACATGTCTTCTGTCTGAATTAAAGACGCGATCCCAGACCATGTCATCTTCTTTAGTAGCTAACTGTAGCCGTGTTCAGAGCCATATTCCCGGCCCTAACTACGCGGGCCGCCGCCGCAAGGAGGCTCCGCTGTGATTGCTCCGTGTGTGATAACTTTCTGTGAAGCATGGAGCTGCAGGAGCAGGGACGAGGCGCTCAGAGCAGACTGCTTCGAAAGAACCAAAGGAAAAGCAGTTTGGGCTCATGGC